TTCACATTAAAACTCCTGTATAAGTTTATCATAAAGCTTATCTCACAGCTCTTCAGAATTATCTACAGAACTATGCAAAATTCCTTCTATCTCCATTAAATGAATGTAAACAGGAATTCGGAGCAATATTTTTTTCCCAATATTTCAGTGAAAATTCTCAGCAGTTTAAAGAGAATGGGAAGTTTTTAAAGCACTGCTCTCTGTAAAACTGGTCCATTAGAATTCAGAAAAATCTGTCTTTAAATGTTTATAGTCTATCCTGTAACTGAGCCTGTAAAATGCAGAGCATCAAACTTTTGTGGAGTCTTGCAGCTGTTGTGTATGATGTAAAACTCTGGGCATTCAGAAATGTAATGGGCATGTGCAGTTATCATATCCACATCTTATATGACACTTCTTCAAGAGATGTCGAGATGCTATACGTCACCGTGAGATGAGGCAGTGTCTATTTGGTAAAAAGTGACCAGTACCTCATTATTTTAAAAGTACACAATCAGGTTCCTCAGAGACCTGGAACAGTCTTTTATCCACTAGGCCTGCCTCTAGCCCCAAAGCAAAGCTTGCACCAGAGTTCTGGGGAGAGGACATAAGCCCTTCCTGGAGGGTCTCCATGCATTGTTCAGAGGCAAGAGGGGTATCTGCAGACAGCTGTTTCAGTCTGACTGCTGGTGGCTTTGTAATTGGAAGGTCATTATATACCCCAGCATGTAGAGTCAGGGTCCTCATTCGTGCATAATCACCAGTTCTTTATATCTGAGACTGCCTGCCCTACCCAGCCATCCCGCCACACCCGTCGTATCCTCTTCCACTGTAACCCTTTCATCAGAGATTCAGGAATATACATAAGAGGTGCAAATGCAGCTATCTAGCTCTTGGACAGCAGAGGGCACAAACTTAAGGGAAAACTGGAAGTTAGGGTAGGCTTCCGATTTCTTCATTTTTCTCTGAAATTGCAACAGATCTTAACTAATTTTTGGCCTTCTTTCTCCTGAAAATACTCCAAAGAAAATTAGAGAAAAATGAGTATTAATTTTATCTCCATTTAAAAATGAGCAATGAAATGGCCAGACAATTTGCCTGCAAATATACGCATTCACTAAGCTTCTAAAATAACCCATAAGAATAAACTATGTTACTGCATGACTGACATGCTGATGAGTAAGAACTACCACCTCAGGGCTTCAAACAAAGCTTTGTTGTCATGCCTTGAATTTTCCCCTACCCTGAACTGATTTCTCTGAGCTGCTCCATTAACTAAATAGTAATCAGTTCTAAACAACAAAAAAAAACCTACATAAAAATATATAAATAAAAAATCTCAGAGGGAACGGAACTTCTCAAACTGGAAAAATCCCAGTCAGAGCTAAAGAATATTGCTTCTGAACAACATGGGAACTACTTTACATATAATGGCAACAAAATGTTACTTTCTCTGAAGGCTGTTTGAGTTACCTTTGCAAATCTTCTCATTAAATGAGACAGTGCTTCTGGATTAGGACACTCCAGTTTCCTGATAATCTCAAAGCTTTGATTGAGCTGCGTGAAGACATCAACCACGGAGCAAGAGAAAAGGGCATGATCTGATGTTTGCTGAAACTAGACAAAGGAAATGTTCAAATGAGTTAATACTTGAGAAACTGTATGCTGAGAACAAATCTGTATTAACTGAATTTCTTACACTTGAAATTCCTACTAAAGTAGGAAGAAAAAAATATACATTAAAAAACCCTCACTGATAACATTAAGAATTGTGCCTTTTCACATTTATGTTATCTTTTTCCAATCCATTCAAAAATGAACACAGAATTCTTGCTCTTTCATGATAGGACATTTTTGCAACCTTGACTATACGTACTTCCCTTTTTGCACTCGAACGGAGACAGCACACTTGTTCTCTGCATGCGGAGAGCAAGATCCTCTCTTACAAGCATCAAGAGCCTAATGTCAATAGCAAAGTGTCCCCAGCTTCAAGGCATCTGCGATCTTGCTTGGAAGATCTTCAGTGCAATTGCAGGAAGATAATCTCTGAAATTCGTATTTGTTGTGACTTAGCTAACCTGAACTCGCGTAACTCCCTTTTGTAGTTTCAGAGACACATTTTTTGCTACACATTAAATCAATTAATGAAATAATTAAGGAAATTATGAAAAATGTAATTCCCTTGGTAAAAATGTTCATCTAAAAGGTCTGTTCATCTAATATGGAAACAATATCATCTTATATATGGCACCATCGCTGAAAATTAATCATCTCATAGAATAAGCAGTTTGTAAAGGACAGCATGAAATAACATTAAGCATCAGTCAAAAAAGAACCCCAAATCTAAAGGGAATTTAGGCAGATGGAAAATGTTTCCAGACTTGGAATTTTTCCACAGAATTATCTTCCCGCAGCATAACTGATTGCATGGCTTGTGAGGTCTAATAAGGACACTGCAGGACCGTTCAAGTTTGCAAAACTTACAGGTCTGTAACACTGAATTGCTGGCTTGCCTTAATAGGCCTTTTTTTTTAAAAAAAAAAAAAAAAAGAAAAGAAAGAGGACTCACCCCATCTTTTTTGTCTCTTTCTAGTGCCCCATGAAGAAACTCCATTGAGACATCCTCATTTTCATCCAGCCACTGAATGACAAATGGTTCAAACCACCTAAAAGTTAAAAATATTTTTGACCAAGTAATTTCCATAATGATACTGTGAGAAGAAGGGAAATTCCACTCTGGAGCTGGACACTTTGTGTTTCACAGCTGTTCTAGCCCTTTATCTAATTGTTCATCCTACATAAATTTTGTACCACCAAAGACAAGGCTACCAAAAGTATTTCTTTAATGAAAAAGTCAAAAGACGAAGTCTTGTGATAGGATTCCCAGAAGATGTGACAATTTGGGCTGTAATTTTTTTAAGGAAGTATGTATGAGCCTGCCTCTGGTCTACTCCATAGACAGAATCAGTGGTATCAATATGAGAAATAATATTTTGTGGGGTATCAAATACTGCACGTTTTTTATTTTAGAATGTGTCTTCTATGACTAATGATACTTTAAAAAAAACTATTTTTGCTTCAATAGTATTTTTCTCTTTAATTTATTCAGGATCTTTTAAAAGCAATGACGGACTCCAAGTCATCTGGGCAAAGCAACAGACTTGCAGAAGATGAAGGAATGTGAATGAGTGCTTTATACCAAATCACAGGACTGAATGTATTACTTTCAGGAAAAGAGCAGCAAATTAAAATACTAGAAGAATATTAACTCAATACAGTAAGAATCATTCTAGTAGTATATGCCATTAGTATTGTATCTTAGCCCAGATATGAAATGAAAGCTGGGGCTTATAACAAATATTGATGCTGTTTCCACATTTCCTACCTTCCTCAGGCATCTTCTGAACACCGTCTGAAATACTGTCAATTATGTGCAGCTGCTGTTACAACAGTTGAATAAAAACAGTCACATGCAATAACTAATAATATTTTTAACAATTGGAACAATTCACCTGATAGAATAAAAAATATAAGAGGAGGAAGTGTGAATAATATATTTAAAGATTTTTTAGGACTACATAGCTTGAAATCTCGCACAGACTTCAGGATAGATATCTGAGCAAAATAAATGTTTCACCAAGCCCTAAATCACATGAGACTCCCCTGCTCACTACTTACAGAGAGTACTCAGGAACTGCATCCTTGAAAGCAGGGAGTTCTCGCACATATTCATTATAAAACCATTTCACTTTGAAGTGCAAATTCATATAATCTGTGCTCTTACATAATCGCTGTTTTTCATGTTCTGTAATAGAAGGAGTTGATATGAAAGCATTTAACAACAGTCTGTCAGTAAACATTCCTGTACTTCAATGCACTAGTGATGTAATACTATGGTATGCGCATTTTAAAGGACAATTGGGTTGACTTTTTATCAAGTACTAACACCCACGGTTGCAGCTTCGGGTTCTTAGTACCTTTAGGAAAACAGAACAAAACAAAATGAGCAGCCCACAGTTAGCTAAAAATGTTTTAAACTCTTCACTGCAGTGAGGGAAACCCACAAAGCAGCTGACTCCCTGCTTTTTACAATCTTGTCTGGTTTTTACAAAATGTGTAAGAAGTTGTGTCAAGTTAGAAAGCAAGAATAGAGCTGTGTAGAAACAAAATGACATAACAGCTTCACAAAACTTCGTTAATTAATCCAGATTTTTTAAAAACAAGGCTGTTGTATCTGAGAAAGCATATTTCAAGGAGTCTCTCAGAAAATGACTTGCAACTACATAAAAGCAGGAAGAACATCCTAAATGACAGCTTTTTTTATCTGTGAGAATAATCAGAAAATACTTCACTTTATCTGTAAAGACACTTTTTATCCACATGAATTTTCAGTCAAGCTTATATAAACCAAAGCACAGAGAACACCACTGGTAAACACGTGAATCATATACAAATTTTAACTGGATGAAATTAGACAGGCTTATCTGGACACAAAAATAATAAAAAAACCACATTTTCTAAAGATAGGAGTACTCTACTTTAGGTATTCTGAATTTAAATTAAGATCCATGGATACTTTCCTCATTTCTAATAAACCTGCACAAATTAGCACAAGTTTGAAACACTACAAGATGTTTTTCTTCAGTTTGGATTTCTGTGTATTTTTTCCTAGAAAGAAAATTATAATGAGTGTCATTAGCGTAAAAGCTCAGTGCTCAACTGCTGAATGCCCAGACTCCAGAAATGTTAAGTGTTGCTGTTTCAATTTCTCTTGCTGTTTTAATTGCACTGGAGACAGAGATATCATATGGTATTTTTCTAGAATTTTAATGTTAAAAGGAGACTGAGAAAACCTTCTTCAGGCAAGAAATACAGAGAAATTGCAATGCAATTGTTGTTTTTGGCCTGATATTTATCGTGTTTTGTCAATGAAGCCATAACAAAGGCTTATTAAGTAAAACTGTCTACTTGCCACGAAGGGATGACAGCATTTACTAAACTGGAAAAAAAAATTCATTTACTGCAGAATACTGCTTCCTTTAGGTAACTCTAAGGTAAACCTAAAAAAAGGTGGCTTTATTTCAAATATTTGCAAATTTTTCCTATTTATTATTTGATAAAAATGAAAAAAGGTAATCTAAAATCCTTCAAAGATGATGAACATCTTATATGTAAATGCAATCAATTTGATATTGACACTGCCAGCTGCACATTAGTTTGTTTCCATTATTTGAGGATGACACTTCAGAGACCTGCTACTGCAGCCTGCAGCCCTAAAACTGGGAAGCACATGCATGGCATGAAGTGACTATCGTCACTGGAAAAACACGACGTTGGAAGGAAGCGCAGTGAGGAATAATGCAGCCTGGGGAACTCCTGTTCCTCCCTCCCAATCACTGTGGAAACATTTTAGCAGTGTGTTCCTATAAGGCATGCTACTTTTTGGGTAAAGGTAGAAGGTCAGGGTTCTTGGTACAGATCCTGATACTTTCCCTGCAGTGCAGGTGCAGGCTACTCTGCCATGGCTTTACATAGCATCTAAATCTCCCACTGTAGTTATTACTTTGCAAGGTGAACAGGCAAGTCGAGCAGGTAGTAACAATGGATTTACCACACCCAGCAGATCAGTGCTCTACTTTGTCATTGTGCTGTTTTGTCCAGTCATAACCAGAAACAGCTACTTTAGGGAAACTCAGTGCCAGACGACAAGGGAAAAACTGCCAACACAGAACATCTTAATGGAAAGCAACCACACACAGCAATGTAAATGTAGGAATGTACTGATGAATAAATATAATGAGGCCTGAATTTGCATGGCCAAATTTAGATCTAGTATAACCAGGCAACAGAGTCAGACTCCAAGGTCTGCAAACCAACATAATCCCTAAAGACAACTAAATTCTACTATATGATCATATGTTAAGCAGTAAACGATATGTATAGCACAGATCTTATTTCAACTGAACACTTTTACATTTTAAACTATTTTTAACAATTGACTAGAAACAATATATTGAGTTACCTCAAATGGACTAGATGTCCCAACAAACTACTGATATGCAAGTGTTAATTAAAAGTCATGTTTTCAATTTTTGCAGTGCACAGTTAATACATCTGTTTCCATACCTTGGTAGGTTCATTACTTTTACACAAGTAGCTGAGTGGGCTTTTGGATAGAAGTATATATTGCAATTTAAAAAATTAAAAGCATTTAGATCTGTTCTGTTCAGGGAACTAGTAATAGGATACACAGTATCACACTTACAGATCATTGATTCAAGTCAGGAATCAGTAAAAGCTGTTAAAATGAACTAACTCTTGTTTAGTGACCTGTAAGAAATACATTGCCAGCCTCAATTCTGTTCTAAGACAGTGCACAAAACCCAGTTACATTTGGCTTTAACTGACACAGCTCTTGGCATATAAATCGACATACAGTTTCTACAGAAAAGCAGGTACTGAACAGGCTGTACAGACCAAGTTACAGTTTCATAACAGGTAGCCAACCAGACATGTGTTTAGCTGTCCTGCTGCTGGAATTTGCATGACTTGCAAATATTCTGTGGAGAAAATAGCAGCCTTTGGATAGACTGATATAATTTAAACTAAAAATACCCAGCTTTGGAACATTTTCCTTCTGAAGAAGGTGGCAAATTCCCGGGAGTAGGGGATGTTCCTCCGCTCCAGGAAGAAAAGGTGCTGTGTGCCAGTGGCACCACGATGGGAGGAAGACAGCAAGCAGATACTTATAATGTCTTCATACAAAAGAGGGAAAAAAAGGCCCAGACTCTGCCTGTAATTAAGAGATTTGGGAATAAGGAAAACTCCAACTTTACCACCCTGCTGCAAGGGAACAGAATAGCAGTTCCTGCTGTGACTCTGGCTATGGCTTAGAAGAATAAGTTGATCTGTAGCAAATAAGTTATACATAAGACAAGTGAGTCTTCTATTAAAAGAATATGTTTTTCTGAGCAAACTTCGAAAATCCAGCAGTAGTATCACAGACTTAAACCCTCTGCTGCTGAAGTGAACAGAAAGACTGAATACGATGCACTGGATCAGACAACAAACAAAGAAAAATGCCAACTCAGAAAGGCAACTTGTAACTGATTTAGTATGAAGCATTTCACTCTACAAGACTTCTCATGCCAGTGCTCTTACACTTCGCTATAGGCAATAGAAGTCAGTGGTTATTAACTGAAATACAGAGCCGGACACAACTAATTGGTAATTAAGTGTAATTTAAGTTCATTTTGATAATGTAAAATACTACTGCCCTTTCTGAAAGGGCTCTTTGTGCCAAGATTAATATAGTAAATGGAAAACTGAAACACTTCTTTTGTCATTACTTTGGATTGTACTCAGTACAACTGACAAAACAAACCTATCCCAACTTCCTCAGAAACGTGCTCTTTCACAATTTATTTCTACATACTCATTCCTTCCTCTGTATTGGCTTGGAAATTTTCATCAAAACTTCAAAACACTTCACAAACTTAATGGATTATGCCTTGAACATCTCTGTGAGCTAATTAAATTGTGCTATTCGCATTTTATAAATGAGGAACAGAGGTACAGGAAGACCAAGTGAATTTACCAAGGGAGTTTGGGTAAATTACAATAGGCAGTATAGATCTTGCCCACAGACTTCTTAACTATAGAGTCTCATTTCCTCACTAACCAGAACCTGGCCTCATTCTGAACTGTATCGAGGAAAAGAAAGAAAGAAAAAATAAAGATCTACAGCTCTCTTTTTGTCTCCTTGCCTGCATCTGAAGGTGCTCATCAATCTCTGATTTAATGCAATGTGCTTTAAAAACTGACATGACATTGCTCTTTATTTCCAAGGAGGAGCTCTCAAAGTGACAGTCCTTTTGCTCAGAGCGCTCTGCCTTCCTTCCCATTTCGCAGCAGGAAGAACATGTGAGCTCAGGGCTACCTGCTTAGCACTGGAAAAGGCACAGCTATGCCTGGCTTCAGACTGAAACCCGCGTACCACAAAAACTGCACAGATCAGTAATATTCAAAGAATACAGTTGGAGACTGTGTGAAAACTATAAATGCAGCAGGAGAACGGTCTATCCTAACTGATACCAAGTCAAAAGCAGACTTTAACCACTGCCGTATAAGAAAGAATGTATGTTTCAAACAGTTCATACAGTTATTGCAGCATTTAAGGGAATCAACAAAATCAGAAAGTAATCAATCACAGAAAATAACACTGACAGAACTGATTTTACATTGTTAGGCTTTCAGAAATCTTTAATATGCACAAAAATTGCAAAATATATAGAGAATGAAGTGATGCATTGAATAGCAGCCTTTCTCACACAGGGGTGACTGGATCAGTGCTTTGGGATGCCCCTTACTTCTTCACCCATGAAGTTAGTTGCCCCAGCAGCAGCCACCTACCCTTTCACATGCAAGGACCCTCCCTTGCTATCTGTACACACTTGTGACCACTGTACTTCTCTGCTCCAGCAAGAGACCACTACTACAGAGACCATGCTTCCCTCTCCCTTGTCCATCTCACGGCAGCAGCCTCCAATCTCGCTCTATCACAAGAAGGCTGGACTATCTGTGCAAGAGCATAAAGAAGGGGAAGGCAGACACGAGGGCGCAACACTGCATGGCTCCAGTCTACTGGCTCCTGATGCAAGGGGCCAAAGAGCACTGCTGAGATGCAGCTCTCCTCTCACCAGCAGCAATCAGCTGTGGAGATGATGCAGGAGGATTTGCCTGCTCAGAGGTCCTGGCCTGAACAACCGATCTCACTGCTGTCAGGAAAAAGAGAGGCAAAGCAGAGCATGAATTGATTGTTCTTCTCCTGGGATTCTCTTAGTGAACAGAGTTAGGACATACTCCCTGGATTTATGCTGATGGTAGTAATGGCTGGATATATCAGGGAACGCAAGGAAGAAAGAGAAATCTAGGATCTAGGTCAAGCTGATTTCATTGTTTATCATGTCAATGATCCATTTGCAAATGATGTGGGATTACTACATGTTTTCTTGATCAAAATAAAAGGAAACACCTTGACACCACAAAAGGTAACACAATGCTGCTGCTTGAGGAGATCAACACTAAGTTGAATCAGCCAAAGGTTACAGTAACAGCCCTGGAACTATACATAGGAACAGATCACATCCTATGTTCATAACTTGGAAAGAAGGTCGGCAGAATACAGTGCATTTTAATGAAGAACTCCATGAAAACACGTCAGATTCAGATTGAATGTGACACTTTTTAAGGTGTTGCTTCTAATCCCACAGAATTCAAAGGGAAAATCCTTATTGCCATTAATCACTGCAGCATCAAACTAACAGTCACTGTAGGATGACTATGAGAAAGTATCTAATGATTTAAGGCACAGTGAAGCTGGAGAGAGAAACAGTATGCTTCTCTGTATTTTATTACCAGATTTACTGGGTTTGCCTGTAAAGAAACAAATAATCTGAAGTTGTAGAAGAAGAATTTATATATAGTTATTATATTTTACAGCTAATCTTGACTTTCTTTACCCACTTTTTAATACAAGGGAACCATTTCACTACTGATTCCTGGAATGACCTGGGATTTTTAAGGTCTCTCCTGTGGTGAGCTAATATAATTAACAGTTAGTATTAATTACCTTCCAGAGCATACTTCATATCCTGGGCAAACAGAGTCCACATGATTTCAGCACTGATTTTTCCCATGTTCAGCTCTTGTGGGAACCTGCAATCAATCACATTTCGTAAGTGCACCTGCTGCTATAAATTATGTTAACAGATGCATATTAGAAAGGCAAATATTTTCACAAAATAATTATTCCCCACAAAATACCTTCTGTATGAACTTTGCTGTATTTTCCGTTTCATAAAATTACACGAACTGGCCAACTGACAGATAAAAACTTGCTTTAGGCTAATGTTAGGAGCTTGGCTAAGCAGTTAGATGTGTACTGCATCATTTCCAGGTGGGGGACTTCCACTAATAGTTTTAAGTTTTCAGAGCACAGAAGAGGAAAGCAGATGACGCAGCGCAACAGAAGGAAGTATTGCACAGAACCCCTAAAACAACTGTATTACAATGACGCAGTGAGACCTATATGAACTAGCATTTCATCAAAAACATATAAAATCATCAAAACAAAATCATGAAGAAAAACACAGAGTTGTGAGTCTTTCAGCTTGAGTCCACTGCACCACTTTACAGCAGCGGATAATTTGATCCGGAGTATTTTCATCTCTTACTGAAAATTTAATAAAAGTCAGTAAATATGCTGTGATAATTCTAACAAAAAAGTAGGAAGTTTTAAAGATCTCCTTAATAAAGAAAGAATTATTCAATATCAGATTTTGTCTGTTTGTAATGGCCACAATGCAAGACTGAATTTGATAAAAGGAAAAGCATCTGTTTGACTAGAGGTACATGCATATATACATATTTTAACTCATGAAAACACATGTTCACACAAATTTCAATTATACTTTTACTATGTTTCTTAAACTACTGCACTACATCCCACCCAATCCCATTCCAACCACAGGTTTCAGCTAAATTTACCATTTGTTTCATGAATGCTAAATACAGTTCGATCATGTGACTTCTATAGAATCTAATCCTAATTCAGAAAGTAAATTCATTTGTTTATTGCAATTACAAGACAACAGACTTCCGAACTACCCTTTCTGCTTTCCACAAAGTAACACTGTGACTCACTTTTTGCAGTAAAAACAATATTCATATGAGAACAGTTTTAGGTGGCAGCCCTTAAGCAATCTAAGCTTCTAGCTTTCAATACCACCTTCACAGGCTTGATGATTTATTACTGCAGCTGTGCCCATCTTAGGCAGACACCCTCAATGCAATAGGTGCAATGCGATGCAAAGGGTGACAAACATTGTTTTGACATATTAGAAATAACCAATTCATATGTGATTCATGACTTTCTTTTATTCTTTCACATCAATTGTGTTGCTACAAGAAAACAAAAGTTTGTTCCACTACTCTGCTTTGCATTCCTCATCCTGTTTGTTCATGTACAACAATTTCAAATAGTACAAATATCTTGTACTGTAAAACCCATTAGCCACAAACTGCTTATTAACAGATTTTAACACTTACAAAAATAATTTATGACTAAAAAGAATTTTACCAGAATTAGAATTCCTTCTGGGTAAATATTAATTATAATAATTGAAAATGGAATTATATGGAGATATTAAAGCTACACTGTGTAGATAATCTATTTTTATATTTTTAAAATACTGTTTGTTTACAGAGATTTGGCAGTGATTATAAGAGTTTAATTGATACAGCAGTTCTGCTTGAATTATATGGAATGCAAAATCTAACCTTTTTTAATTTACAACCATTTTCTGTATTTGTTAACATTAGAAACCTGGGAATAGATGTTCCCCTTGGTTTAAATTTACATAAGTAATATTTACACATAATTGCAGTTAGCTATTCTTTCAATGAATAACATACAAATTGTACAGGATTGACAGAACATGTAGACAAAAGATTTGCTCTGAATATTAAGGGAAGGGAAATAAAAGCTGTATCAAAAATAGCACAGAACTGTGATGGGTAAAATTATGACCAATAAAAAAAATCTATAAAGACTGTATTATAGCTACCATTTCAACAACTATGTTGTCAGTAGAGCAATAATGACTGCAATACACACACTTTCTCTAGGCATTCAGTAGAGGCTGCAATGATAATTGCTTGGATATTGTTTTTAGCTATTTTTTACAGCATCATTGAACAAATCAGGGCTGGAATGGACTTCTGAAAATCTAGCTCAAGGTAGAGAGAATTTCAAAGTCACATCAGGCTGCTCTAGGTGAATTCAGCTTAGTTCTGACCATCTCCAAATCTGAAGATGCCACAACCTGTCTGGGCAAAATGGGTTTGACCACTCTCACTGGTGTAATGTGGAATTTCTCCCACTTACCTGATCAGATTTTCCCTGCCTGCGAATTGTGCTCATGCTTTTGCTGTACATTTCCCAGAATGGTCTGGCTCTGCCTTTTGCATGTGACAATGCATTAGGAGTTTGAAGACTGGAATCAGCACTGCCCTTAGTAGTCCTTCCCTCCAGCTAACAGACCCTGCTATCTCAACCTGTCCTAGTACATCATGTGTCCCAGGCCCCTCATCACCTTGGTGGTGGCTCCTTCTCCACTGCAGGTTTCAACTCTGACGATGTTCATCTAAAACTGGGGAACCCAAATTGGAATCATCACTGCCAGTGCAGTCTCAGAGGTTCATTATCAGAAGGGAGCTAGAATTTCCTTCAATCAGCAGACTATGATCTTTCCAAGGTAACTCAGTATGTCATTATGTTAAATACAGCTCACTGCACTAGTACCTTAATTTATAAAGGCATTATGATCTCCTATCTTCTTAAGGTCCTTAATTGCTAAAACAGTACCTGTGTTTTGCACAGTACAACGCTTTGAATAACAAGGTGAAGTGTGAATAGCACACTATTCCCTACCCCTAACCAAGATTTATCCTCACAGATAGCTTATGCATGAGTAGTTCCATTTACTTTAATATGGTTCATCAAGTTTCTAAGCTTACTCATGTAATACTAATATATAATTTATTACTTGCATTACAGTAGCACTTAGAGACTTTGGATAGGTTAAAAACATTCAGGTTAGAAAAATTACTACACTACTACATTGGAACTTTAAAATATGTAGTAAGAAACAATGACTGACCTTCAAAACCGACAGTCTAAAAAGACAGGACAGGGAATGGGGAAGGGGACAAAGAAGAAGTGAGCAGCCCAAGGTCCTACCACAGTCAGCCCCAGATTCATTTTCAGCCCCCTCTTCACCTACAAGAATGGCGCTTCTACTTTTAATGTGCATAATATGTGTGTTTGTGTGTGTGCATATGAACACGGCATCTTACATATGTGTGTGTGCATGCATATCAACACACTCTTTTTTATATATATAAAAATATACATTTACATGCACACTATTACATGAATATTCAATGACAATCAGAAATAAGCAAGACTATAAGATTGCAGCTAATCAATTAGCATTCATTTGATATATACCCCTATTATTCACAAACAGCTTGTCCTTCCCTTGTTCCTAGTTTTCACTTTATTAGAGGGAAATATTCAGTATTTCCTGAACCATACTTCAGTATTTCATCAAACTGAACTACTGCATTAGGAAAGACACTCAGGCCATGAATTTGTACAATAAGCAGTAATACAGCAGACTACACAAATGAACATGACTGAGATTTTAACACATCTGTTACTCTTCAGCACTATTCTGCTCGGAAAATATTTCTTCTAATAATATGTACATGTAATATTTTTAATGAATCAAATTTGCTCCTAAGTATCAAGAGCAGCAGTACTGTTCTTTTCAACTGCAATTTATCTTTTTTTAAAACTAATGAAAGTGACCTGCATATAAAGCAGGCATATTCAGAGACTACTGAAGAGAATCTTATGTTCACATGACAAAGGTTCACAATAGTTACTACTGACTTACCTGCATTTGGTGCCACAACTGAAAACCAATTCTGACATATAAGAAATACGTATACAACACAAAAATTAGTCAAAATGTAAAAAACTAATGAAGAAAAGCCCCCAAACTCCTAAACCCCACAATGTTTTGAAAATTTACAGTCAAATTCCTTAGACCCATGTGGTCAAACTTGTGGAGAAGTTGTCTGGCTCTCCAATCAAATACAGAGCAACCGACGATACATTCTGCTGAGCTGATTCACCTTTTCTTAGCCTGATGATAGAGTAGTTTCACCAAAAGATGAATGAGTGCAACAAGAAATCATCACTGAAGGAATAAAATTATTTTTCAATTCCAAAAGCAAGTAGCAGACAGCTCAAAATTCCTTAGGATGATTTTCTGCTATACACAGGACGATAATAACTGTTAAACCTAGGGCTTGGATTAAACACTTCAGCAAACTCAAGAAAAAGATCAAGTCTCTTTTTATTGAAAAAAAAAAAGAGTTGGATTGCACAAGGTACTTGTCAAATACTTAATCAGAGCTAAGATGAATAGTCTAAGATTTGTTGGTGGAAAAACCAAGATAGAGATATTTCCAACTTACATGAGCTGGACACCGAAAAGCCTGACGGATTTATAAGAAGGACTGTCATGGGAATGGAAGAGAGAGTTTACTGGCTGTCACAGCTCAGTGCTATGGCTGATCTGGCTGTTCTGAGCAAGAGGTCTGTTTCTGCCGTAAGGAATCAAACATCTATGTACATGCTTATGTAAATAAATGAATGCTGAGCCATATCATGTTTTTCTTATTCTATCCATTCCCCTGGATTTTAGTTCTAGAAAATAGAAAGAAAAACTCCACTTCTTTTGCCTAGGCTCTATCTTATTTGTATTCCAGGAATGCAATTACTAGAATAAATCCCAACTCCTCTCTCAAACCATCTCTTTGAAAGAAAACCAAAGACAGCACTTAAGATAACTAATCTTTTATTCTCTACGTAGTGGGAGAAGATATATCAGAATGAACACAAGAGCCATGTTTATCAGGAAGGCAGCATGCATACTAGAATTTCTTAATCAAGCTGGAGAAAGAGCAGTTGGCACCATTCAAATAAGGACTACTTTATAGTCCTTACAGAGGCCAGCTCTGGTTTGAGGCAATCTGCTCTAAAAAGATGATGGTAGCCAAGATCTGCTCTCCTAAGTAGAGGAGCTGTAATTCTGGGAGTTATTTAAGCAGCAAAGAGCAGAGGTAGCCACCTTACAGTCTCCTGTATTATGAAATTCCGAATCTAACAGTCATTATAAAACCTAGCTAAACCCAGATCACCACGGTAACTAAGTGCAATTATCTTGGGCTCACATGCCATCCTTGTGCACATTGTTAATTCTGGGATCTAAGAACTATGCATAGCAGAAAAATTCTTTTTCTTCAAGGTACAGGAACGCACA